GGCCGTGACTCACGCTCTGGCCCCGGGCAGGCAGGCGGAGGAAGGGGGAGCCCTCGACGGGGCCCGTCTCTGCTCCGGTGGCCACCAGCACTCAACGGGAGGGTTTTAAATTCCTATCGTAAAATGCAAATAGCTTAAATTAAAAATGTGTTGAGCAACTGCTGCTCTGAAAACAGTCTGACGCGGCTCTGATTACTCCAGCTGGGGAGGAGAGGGCACTCTCCACTGTACAGCTTCCCTCTCCCAAGTAGAAAAGTCATATAAATACAGATCTTAGGGAAGATTTTTCTTGGTACAAACAGCCTGTAGCCATCTCCGTGCAGGAGAGAGGGGAGAAAAAATCAGAATAAAGCCCCCCGGTTCTTCCCCAACCCCTTCTCCTGCCGTGGGAGCCGAGCCACATCAGCTCCACGGAGAAGCCAGAGCATGCTGGGCTGCAGCCCAGCACATCCCAGGAGAGGGAACGGACTTCCCCGGTCTCATAAACCTTGCGAAAACCAAGTTATGGAGAGGCCTTTACCAGGAGCCGCGGCTGCATCATAACAGAATATCGACGGGCAGCACACGGTGATTGCGTGAACACAAAATAAAAGTGTCAAAAAATTAAGACAAACAATCCTCAGCCTTGATGGTCGCTGTCGTGAGTGGAAAAAACACTGAGAGCAACCAAAGTGTTTGCCAATAAACCTTGCGAAAACCAAGTTATGGAGAGGCCTTTACCAGGAGCCGCGGCTGCATCATAACAGAATATCGACGGGCAGCACACGGTGATTGCGTGAACACAAAATAAAAGTGTCAAAAAATTAAGACAAACAATCCTCAGCCTTGATGGTCGCTGTCGTGAGTGGAAAAAACACTGAGAGCAACCAAAGTGTTTGCCAACAGCCGCGTTTCAAGGTGACAGTAAAGTCCCTGGCGCTCCTCGGCCACATCCAGACCGGTTTTGGTGCTGTGGCACTGGTGTTCGCCGGTAAACGAACCCACGTGCCGCTCGTTTGATGAGCCTGCCCCCCAGCCACAGCTCTCCCTCTGCTCCCGCCGGGGTTCGTAGGTGCTGCACACAGGCTCTGCTCCAGGATTTTGCCGTGGGAGCTACAAATATTCCTGCACAAAGTAAAATACGCAAGAAACAAGCACGGGCGGTACAAGGCGAGGCCTGAGACCCAGCGTCCTGTACGCAGCTCTGAGATAAAAACGGATCATAAACCCACACACCCGCTTATCAGCTAATTGCCTGGATATTTTCACCACAACATCTTCCCCGGGCGGCCCCAGAAACCCGACCTCTGTCCCCAAAGCAGCGCCTGTTCCGCTTGCCCCGCACCACAAAACCAGGAGGAACCACCTGAACCTGGGCAAGCGCTGGGAGCCGCTCTCTGGGACCCTCTTTTATAGCAGTTTCATTCAAAATGGCTCATTTTTCTGCAGTCAGGTTTGCCGAGTGCTGGATTGCATAAACCCAAGGCAGAAATTAGGCAGACGCTCTCTTTTGATTATTTAGTACCAACCACCCTGGAACTACATCGCGTTTTTTCTTCCAGGGAGGCCAAAAAAAAAGGGCAATTTGACGCTGTGCTGCCTAAACACAACCAGAAGAGATTCAGCAGAAAGCGACTTTAGAGGGGGGGAAGTGTTGAGTCCCAGGGGGGGGCACTTCCCTTATAGCTGCACCACCCAAAATCACAAAAAAGCTGTTAAATTTATTTTCAAGCAGGGGATTCCAGCGGATGCTACTTGGAAGAGATCCCTGCTTCCCCTCCCGCCTTACACCCATGGGATTGGAAGGCTGGAGCGCTTTACATTAAAAAAATACCCTAAAATCCTCTGATTTTTCCTCAAGGAACAGCCCCATCGTGAGCGTGGGAAGAGCAAAGATCTCCCAGAGGAAAATGAACTGCCTGTGCCCCGGCTAGCCGACAGCACCGCGGCAGAAGGGACAAGACCCCTGCCCATCCTCGGCATACAGGACCAGCACATCGCACCCGCTCAGGACGAGACTTTCCTCAGCCCTCCAGGATCATTAAAATAATTTAAGGTGAACAGGAAAAACAAGCTTTTGGAGCCTACCGAGCTCTGCAGTTAATCAGTCCAAGCCTTACTCGGACATCTGACTTAACCCATGTGGATGCTGGGGATTTTTGCCACCGAAGTTCAGGGAACCATCACAGAAACCCACCTCCTCACAGCACATTCCTGCCTGGATGGGCACAGAAGTCACAAACACCAACTTCAAGTCGAAATTTGGCTTTGAGGTGAATTTTCCAGAGCAGCCCTACCCCAGCCTCCTCCATCCGGCGCCGCAAACAGATGCGAGGGAGACACGTAGTCGCGCTTTCGCTGCAGACCAGACCTGGTCCCACTCGACTCGGCGAGGACCGGCCGCGGCAGAGCCAGATGAACGGCACCGAGGAGCCTCAGCAGACGCGCAAAGCCCCAGGCAGAACCAGAACCCAAACACCAGCTTTCCCAACGTGCTGGATTACCAAAGAGAAGGAAACGCAAACAGAAACAAACAGCCGAACGCTTTGGTTTCATCGCCCCAGCAGCAGTTAACCAGGAGATTTCTTCCTCTCCTCTTCAGACACCTCCAACCTGAAACTGCCTTTGCAAAAAACAATTATTCTCGAGTCATTCCAGCCGCCCGGCTCGCCTCAGCTCTCCTCCCGACAGCTCCTGCAGTCATCGTCACACTGAACATGCATTTCTTCTCCTCTCCTTCCTCGGGAAAGAGCACAGCCGCGCCGCAGCTCACCGCATGGACACGGCGAGCGGAGGGCACGGATCCCATCCGTCAGGAAAGCGGTCCTGGCCACGAACCTCCGCCTGCAGCCAGCTCCTCTCCCAGGAGCCCAGGACTGCGCCGGACACAAGCTCCAGAGCCCTTCACCGAGGCTGGGTTTTTTGTGGGACCACATACTCGGCCACGGGGTCAGCAAATCTTCCCGATTCCCGGGCCGGCAGACAGATGGGACACTGCCCGCGGTGACCTGTGGTGCGGCCACCCCGATGCCAGTCCCAGCAGGCTCGTCATCCCAAGGCATCGCACCCGCCGGACAGGTAACCTCAGCTGACAAACTCGCTACAGGACAGGACGGATTAATGAGACAAGTGGGGATATAAACGCTTCCTGCTGTGCAGAGGATGAACCGATCAGAGGGAGCTGAGGAGAAATAAGATTAATCCACAACTGTCCTCTTTGGAACTTGGTGGGCTTTTTTGACCTTCCCCCCCCCACAGCACTTTGTGTCAGTGTTGGTGAGGGGACAAGGCGTCTGAGCTGCTAAAATAACACCTGGAGAGCAGAAAAAGATCCTAAACCCACCACTAATGACAGCAAAGCCACTAGTCCCAGCCCAGCAAAATATGCTTGATTTCACTGGCAGAAGGCGAGTGTGCACGGCCACCCCTGGACACCCCACGGCAAGGAAGGACCGAGGAGGAGGAGGAAGCATTCAGCCACACTGTGTCACCGGACAAAGTATTTGTAACCCCACGAGGACGAGCCAGATGCAAAAATAGTTCTGCTAGCAGTTGTTTTGGGGTAGGATTGGGGT